GTGAAGCCTGGGGCGGGGGTGGGGCAGGCTAGAAGGGGTTAATGGGGAGAAAGGGGACATCTGTAATACTTTCAACAATAAAGATTTGTTTCTAAAAAGAAAAATAACTTTATATTTTGAAAACAACTACACATGAATTATTCATCGCAAATTCCTCCTGCTCAGCCTTCCATGAAAACATATGTGATGGAGAGTAAGGAAGTGTCTGTAGGCAAATGCTTCACAGCCTGGAGGGTTGGGAGGCGTGGTGGGGGGAGAGGCCCCCCCTCCGCAGGCGGCCTGGCCCCGGCCCAGGCGCACAGCCCCCTCTCTGCGCAGAGCGCAGTGGCAGACCAGTCCCAGGACGTCTCCATCTCCAGAAGAGACCCCGAGCACCGCCCCAGCACCAGGGCCCCTTCCCAGTGCCCCCCTCGCCTGCTCGCATCTCTAAGATGAACACAGCAGCAACCCACTAGCTCGATCACAACCCTTGGAGGCAATTTGCAATACAACATAAGGCTAAACGGCACCATTTATAAACAGATTTCAAAACGTTTACGCATTCAAGTGGTGTCCTTCGGTCTTTCCTAGGAGGCATTTCCCTGAGAAAGTTCCTCAAAGCGTAACAACCTGTGGCCTGGCACGTTCTGATTCACCAACTAGTCCCTGCATCCCTGGGATGTCATTTCAACGGTGGACCGATTCTTCCTCGCGAGACCTTGGCATTCCCTGGGGTCAACGCTGGGCTCTTGGTGGACAGGCGCTGTACTGCACCTCACTGGTTCTGAGTTCATGTTCCTTCTCACCGAGAAAGTGACTCAGCTCCGCCCAGCTGCCGCAGAGCCTCCGCAAGAGCACCCCCTGGCCCCAGGTGTGAGCAGCACAGGTCTGCGAGGCCTCTGCACCCCTCCTTTCTGAGGGCTACCATATAGACCCTCACTTCTCACAGTCTATTGAGAGAGAACAGTGAGCCACTCCAGATAAAATGCAGGGAGCGTGTGGGTCTTCCCCCCCTCCTGTCCTTTATCCTCACTTGTTACATCTACTTACCGTATAAACCCACAAGACAGTGGTGTTTACCCTAAACATCCTGTTTAAATTGAGAAAAATAGGCCTTTCTGTCTAGTCGGTTATTCACCATTTCCAATGTTCTTTATTCCTTCATGTCATCTGAGCCGCCACCTCGTTTCAAATTCCTTCAACCTGAAAACTTCCTTGAACGCTCTATAGCGAAGATCTGCTTGTAATAAGTTATCTTTGTGTGTTTGTATCTGAAAACACCTTTAGTTCCCCTTCTTTCTAAAGGAGAATTTTGCTGGATGTAAATTCTGGGGGGAGAGACTTTTTGTTTCCTTTCCAGCAAGTTAATCAAAGGTATTGTCCCACTGTTTCTGGCCTCCACTGTTCTGATGAGCAGTGAATGGGGATTCAAAGCCTGTTCCCCCATTTGTAATATGTCATTTTCATACGCTGCTTTTAACATTTCTTTCTTGACCTTGGCTTTCAGCAGTTTGTCTGTGATTTTGCTTGTATTTATCTTACTTGTGTTTTCTGAGCTTCCTGAATATACATTTAGTCCTTTTCCCCCAAATTAGGAAATTTCAGCCATGATTTCCTCACGCGTCTTCCTTTCCTTCTACGACTCCAGTAATTAAATAAATGCAAAATGGACTAAGTACTCAAGTACAAGACTAAGACTGTCACAGTGTATCTTTTAGAATGCCAGCGATATGCTGCCCAGTAGAGATTTACTTTAAATATTGAGCACCCAGAAAGTGTGAAATAAAAGGATAGAAAAATATATTCTCTGCTAGCACGGATCAAAAGAGAGCTGAAGTAACTGTATTATTATCAGGCAAAAGGCGGCTGGCAGGCAAGTAGCATTACTCTGAATCCGGAGAGTCATGTCATAATTGTAAAGGAGACAATTCACAGGGAGTTGCAGCGAGCTATGTGTACCCAATAATTTAGCTTCAAAGCGAACAAAGCAATAATCAACAGAATAAGAAAGGATCTCACTAGACAAATCCACAGTCCACTTCCATACGCTGCTCTAAATAGCTAGTGGAATGTGCAGGCAGAAATCTGAATAGACTAGAGAAGTTCTGGAGATCGTGATTAAGGAAACAGGCCTAATTGACATACTTAGAAAACTGAAGGTCCATGAGGGAGTGAGCACACCTTTTTCAGTGCTTATGGAGCATTTGCCAAAATCATCTGTGTGTTGGGTCATAGTCCAAGGCTCACTATCTCAAAGGACAGCCTGAAGTCACTTAGACTTTAGAATCTGTTCTCTCATCACAAGGGAATCAACTTTAAAATTGATAATAGAAGGTAAATTAGAAAATCCCAACTGTTTGGACATTAGACAATGCACTTAAAATTAAGCTTTGGAAAAAAGAATAAACCACCAAGGAAAGTATAGATATTCTGAACTGAATGATAATGAGGATATGATATACCGAAACTTGCATGATATGGCTAAGCCTGTACCTCGAGGGCAATGGATAGCCATCAATTCATACATTAGAGAAAGAAAGGCTGAACAGTAATGATCTAACATTTCATCTCAAGAAATTAGAAAAAGAAAAGCAAATTAAACCTCAATGAAGTAGAATGAAGACAATAATCAAGATAATAGAAATAAAAAACAAATATATGAGAGAAAAATACCAATAACAATAAAGTGGATACTAATAAAACTGACAGACTTCAAATGCTTCTGGATAGGATGGAGTAATTGATAGCAAGCCAACATTCTCAATGAAAAAACAAAACAAAAACACAACAAAACACCTGAAAAAGCCCAACCCATTACCTAAAAAGGTACCGGAGAGCTGGGGAAGCTGTGCTGTCACAGGGACTGAAGTTCCCAGGTGAGAAGAACCCTGCAGAGGCGCACTGAGGCCATGCAACTGCACTTCCCCTGGGAACAGCTGAGGATTCTGGGGGTGGACTTGAGCCTAAGAAACAGAGCTGGGCCGGCCGGAGGGCCCTTCTAGCAGAGCGTGCGCTAGGTGTGTGGTGCTAGGATCTCGAACTTGGAGATGGAGTGGGCAGGCTCAAACCAGGACTGGTCCCCTCCCAGACGGGGCTGACCTCGGGAACCGCTCAGGGCTGAAGTCTGACACCAAAGTTGACAAGTTTTGAGAAGCAGCCGGCAAGGCCCCACACTGTGGTACTCAGGCCCACCCGGGAGAGAGGCCTGGCAACCCCAAGGCAGAGACAGAAGCCTAGAGTTGTGGTCAGTGGACACCAAGTCTGGTGACTGCTCCTGCGGTTGTGTGGGGCTTGGACCAATAAATCTGAAGATGTGAGGACCTCGAACGCACAGTTGGTCTCCCCCTTAAACCACCTGCAAGATTAGGAACATGTCCGTAACAGGAAGCTAACGGGCGAGGACTGCTCGTCCCCTCCCCGCACTGGGCCTCCGGAACAGGCACTCCATCCGCTTCCCATGACCGGGCTGGAAACCCCATGAGGAAGCAACGGTAGTGGGGTGGGGTGGGGAGCGCATGAGGACCTGCTGGGGCGCAGGAGGAACACCTGCTCCTGAGCTGGCCGGGCCCTGCCTTGGAGGGATGAGAAGCGAGGAGCCAGAGCCTAAGAATCTGGGGCGCTGGCCGGGCTGTGACCGACGCTGCTGCCCTAAGGCACGCCCGCCCGGGGCTCGGTGTTTGCTGACAGCTCTGCGGCCCCACGTCCGTCTCCAGAGGCCTCGGCTGGGACCCGGGGATCGGCCTGAGAAGGGGGGGCTCCACCGCGCTCAGGGTACTTATGAGGGTGACGAATAACAACGTCGCACAGGAACAGCCGACTACAGGGAACGGGAGTGGGAAAGCGCCCTCCGCTCCTGGCGGATGGAGTAGCTCAATTAGGCTAATTACTCAATTAGACGAATCTTGACGTCTGTGTCCTTGGGCGTTTTGTCATTTTATGTTCCCCACGGGTCACCGTCACCAAGCAATCAAGCCTCTTTTCCATCCGCGTTCCCCATGTGGCGCGGGCCCCTGCCAAGTGCGCAACAGGCACCTCCCGTGTTTCCTGACGGAGTTTGACAGACTGTTCGCCTGCCCAACCTGTACCTCTTCTTCTCCCGTGGAGAGAACCGTGCTTCTCCTGGAGGTGGTCATGTTCCCAGCCCAGAATCTCTCTCTCTCTCAATATCTCTCTCTCTCTCTCTCTCTCTCTCTATATATATATATATATATATATATCTCACTCACACACAGGCCTGGTCCATAAGAAAAGCGGCTGGGAGAAGCTTCTAAGATGCTGTTCCATAAGAAAAGCTGCTGGGAGAAGCTTCTAAGATGCTGGGGGTTTTTTTTGGTTTTTTTTTAAATATATTTTATTGATTTTTTACAGAGAGGAAGGGAGAGGGACAGAGAGCCAGAAACATCGATGAAAGAGGAACATCGATCAGCTGCCCCCTGCACATCCCCTCCCGGGGATGTGCCCGCAACCCAGGCACATGCCCTTGACCGGAATCAAACCCGGGACCCTTCAGTCCACAGGCCGACGCTCCATCCACTGAGTCAAACCGGCTTCGGCATAAGATGCTGTTTTAAGACAGAAAGACTTGTCTAGCTCAAGCCTTTTGCCCCTCGCTCTCGCCTTCTTTGTGCCTGAAACCTGTGTGGCGGCTGGTGCTCCAGCTGCCATCTTGCAGGCACGGGGCTGACCTGAAAGAGGAGAAGGCTGGAAGCAGCCTGGGCTCTGGACACTGCAGAGCTCTGCACGGGCCCTGCTCAGGCAGCTTCCCGATCCTCGTCACAGAGAGAGAAATCGCAGCCTCCAATTTCACACGCTGTTTGGGGGAGTTTGCTGCTCATTCCGCATGTGATGGAGGGAGAGAGAAAGGAAACGTATGCAGGGAAGAAATAGGAAGGTTCTAGATCTCCCTAGAGTTCCAAAGCAGTTTCCTGCACCACCACCAGCTCTCGACTCATCGTTTACATAAAATGCCATTAAAAACGCGCAGCAGTCACTGCCAGGTGGCACAGGTGCCAGAGCAGTGAACTGGGAAGGCCCCCTGGGGGGAGAACACGGGGACAGGGTGTTCGAGAAACGATGTAATGAATGGGTAACGCTCAGACCGGGTCTAGCAGGAGCCCAGAAAGCACCGCGCCTTCTCCTGCCCCCGCAGAAGTCACATATTGAACCGTGAGAAGCTCACGAGCTCACGAAACCCCAACGGCTGCCTCGGTAAGGACGGTCCCCTCATGTGGTGTCACTGGTGGCCTCTCACGTTAAACAGAGAAAAGGAGGAGACAGGTCACGCGTCACCGACTGGACTGGCACAGTGGGCGAGCCCCCGACCACGCGGAGCCTGTGACTGTCCTCGGCGAGGACGGCAGCTCGTGGGGGTGGGCGCTGACGCCCGCCTGGCCCAAGTCGTCCTGCAGCTCTCCCTCCTCTGCCGCCCGAACCTCAGTGTTTCCTGCATCCACCCTCACCACGCCCACGTATTCACATACCCTCAGGCCTCCGTGTCCTCAGTGCTGTCTGTGAGCGGAGGTGTGGGCTGTCTCAGCAGCCTGTCCCCACCTCTGTGCCGCCAGCCCCTCCTCCTCCACCCGCCTGGGGGCTGCTGTCGGAGCTGGCACAGAAGACATGCAAAGAGCCTGTGACAGTGTCTACCGGGGCAGACACCCCACACGTGGTAGCACTAATATAACGATCCCTTCTTGGAAATGTCTTCCATCGCCTCCTCTGAATTTGTCCACACGGACACGGCTACACGTGAGTGAAATGCCTTCCTTGACAAGAGCTGATGCTGACTAGCAAGAGGCATCGGAACGGGAGTCTGAAGCAATCCTCTGGGCTGGTTTCTGAGAAGTCTATGCAGACCCCTCCGGCCGGGCCCTCTGGCCGGCTCGCCAGTGCCCACAGCACATGCCTGAGCTCCTCTCCTGCCCGCCTCTCCCCCCCTCTGGCTGGACAAGCCCCAGCATCGGGCACTCCCCCTGCAGTGAGGGGCCGGCGAGGCCTGGTCCCACCCCATCTGCCCGCGAGGGCAGCGTGGGCGCCGATCAGACGCATTCTCTGCAGAAAGTGGCCGCCGACACTTCTGGCTGAGGAGCCTTTTCCGCCGTGGAGAGGCCTAGGCGTGACCTGCTTTGTCCGGCCGAGAACGGAAAACCCAGCGCCACGCCTTGGCAGCGCATTCCTGTGACAGAGCAGCCGGCCCGCCTCGGGCAGGAGACACAAACACGGGAGGCCCGTCCTACCTTCCTGAAGTTGCACCAGTTCACTCTGCCATCGAGATCCTTGCTGAAGTTGAGGAATTGTTTCTTGAACGCGGGGTCCTGCTGCTGGACCCAGTGCCGGAGCTTTTCCACCGCTTCGTCCTTGGTCACCGTCTTGGTCCAGGTGCTTTTGTCCTCCGTGGGCTTGGCTCTGAAATCACAGCAGGCACAGGTCCGGCGGGTGCTCCTTACAGACCCCGCACGTTCCATCCCAGACCCCCGCCCACCACCCCCCCATGCCCAAGTGGTGGCAGGTGGGGGCAGGAGCCTCGGGAAGAGAAGGCTGCGCCTGTGTGAGATTTCCTCCTGCGCTCTGAGCTGGCTGGACACACTAGGTCAGGCAGGTGTGGGGGAATGTGACCCAGGAAATGAAGCTTCAAACAGGCTGCTGTGTGGCAACCAGGTCCCAGGGGTCACCACCCTCTGTGGGAAGGAAGGGCGCCACAGCTGCTCCCAGGTCCTTCCGAGAGGGGCATGCAGTGTGAGGGGCGTGTGCGCAGAGGACAACGGCCTCCTCAGCTCCAGCAGCCTCTCGGCCCCGGGGGCGAGGCGTGGGGCCGGGACACAACCGGAGTGAACCTGCCACCTCTCCTGCTCCCCCGGCTCTGAGGAGCGCTCTGCTCCGCACACCCCGCATTGTAGGAAATGCTCAGCTGCCAAGACTTCCCTCCTGGTTTAGGGGGCAGAGCACTCACCTCTGAGCATTTAACCTGCTCTCAAAGGGCCACCTTTCTGCCGTTTATAACGCAGCTACCACCCGAATGCTCGATGCCAACTGCCGTTAGCAGAGCGCTGACCGCCCCGGCTCGCACTTAGGGGCTCTTAAAGGGGACGGTGCAGTCTGCCGAATACTTGTACGTCTTACCTTTCTCTATGAACAAGCAAGTTAGAATAATATCTCTTCACTAGACTAAACCTGTATTTTCCAAAATGAAGAAGGGCGAGGATGTTTTTAATAGGTTTCCTAAGTATGTTTCGTCGTTACAACTCCATTGGCCACCATGTCGGGAGCCCTGCATCGCTGTTAGGGAGCGCGCCCTGGCGGAGGCGTTTCTGCAGGGAAGATGCGGGAGGGTCCGAGGGGGCAGAGAGCGGGTGAGGGCAGGTCTGTGATGGCCGAACGGCAGCCGGGCCTCTGGGCCTGAAAGCCCTGGGTTCCGGGGCTCGGGACGGCCACGGACTTTGTGAAACTTGAGGCGAGTCCCCAGGCCCTCAGTGCCTCGTTTCTAGAATGAGTAGGTGAGTTCAGTAATCCCTAAGCTCTCTGCCGGCTCTACAACCCGCTGCCTCCAGTGCTGCGGTGACAGTCTGCCATCTTATCTAAATACTACAATGTGAACACACTCACGTTTACACAAAGGTTTACTGACTGCCTGCCCCACGGCACCGAGGTTCTCGCTGCGCCGGCACCTGCCTCTCGTTACCTCTCGGCGCTCTCCGGCGGTGGCCCCTTCTGCCCGTGCTCACGGGGCGGCCGGTCCTTCATGGCATTAGCTGGACGGGCGGCGGGCAGGCCCTGGACGCCCATGCTGGCCAGGAGGTTCTTGTACAGGACCTTTCCCGAGGCTGAATCCTTAAACTTGCTGCAGAGTCTGGATTGTAAAGGTAAGCAGAACACGCCCGTTAGAACGGCGGAACCCAAAAGACGGGCCCTCCGTGCGTGGGCGGCGAGGGTGTGGCACCTGCACCCCGCCCGCCTGGTGTGCGGCGTGGGCAGCGGCCGCTGGGAAAGCCGGCTTGGCAGCTGGACGTGTGTGGGGAGCCGGCACGGCCATGGCATACTCAGCCCCAGGGCGCCTTATGTGCCGTGCCAGCTCAGCCTGGTTCAGTGACCCTGAGTGGGGGAGGATGAAAGGATTGAGAAAAGACAGACAAGAGAATGAAAGCTGGGTCTCGGTGGGACGCTGCTCCCTGATGAGGAGACAGCGCCAGCACCCACAAGCCGTGTCTTTATTTTATAGCAGATGCCACGAGGCAAAGTAGGGGCGTGATCACGTTGTTTACAGCATTCTCGTGAGTTTCAACCCTACTCAACTACATGCACCTGAACTCTATCACAAGGCACGTGGGGCCACGTGTTCAGACCATAGGTTCAAGCTTACAGCCACAGCCGTTGGCTATGATTGTGCTGGGAGGGCCCTGCCCTCCAGCTGGGACTTGCACGTGGCAATGAGAGGACCCTGTCCTTCCATTAGTCCGAGGCTTGAACCTGGCCAAAACACTGTAACCGTGCCCCACAAACGTGCACTTGCCCTGGAGCCAGCCACTCCGCCCTGGAGAAGTGGGTGTGAGTGTCCACAGAGGCCCGTACCACAGGCCCAGCCCTCCGTGTACCAGCCCCAAACCAGAAGCACACCAAGCACCCAGCACCGGTGGATGCACCAGGCGTGCGCCCCACCGAGGAACGCGACTCCGCAATGACAAGGGACCCGCTGGAATCCGTAGCAACAAAATGAACCCAGACCCGCTGTGAGGGTGAACGGAGCCTGACAAGAAGCAGCACCGCCCTGGCCGGTCGCTCGGTGGTTAGAGCGGTGGCCCTCGCACCAAAGGGTGGCGGGTTGGACCCTGTCAGGGCACGGACCTCGGGTGCAGCTCAGTTCCAGGCCCAGGAGGGGCATGTGCTAGAGACAACCAATAGTTATATCACTGATGTTTCTCTCTCTCTCTTTCCCTCCCTCCCTCCCCCACCCCACCACCCTCCCATTCTCTCTAAGAGCAATGGGAAAAATACCCTCGGGTGAGGATTTTAAGCATTTTAAAAAAAGAAGCGAACACCACGTGTGCTTTCACTTATGTAAAATCGTAGAAAGTACAAAGTAACCAGAGTGGTGGGGAGCAGAGCAGAGGCTGCTGGGGAGGGGGGGGGATAAAGTGCCATAAAGATGTAACAAATGTAAAGACAGGAAGTCCTGAGTGAGCGAGTCTGGCAGGGAATTAGGAGGGCTCACTGCACCGCGCACACCACGCATTTCAGGAAACAAGGAACCACTGGTGTGGCTGGGCCTGCTGTTTCTCAGCATTTTGTTTGTTAATATTTTCTAATCATAGACAGTGTGCCTGGTCCTTGTTGCAGTTAGGGGAGCCCACGGTCCCGAGCAGAACCTGCGCGTTTGCTAAGATGCCCCGGGCCACAGAGCAGGCAGCTCGGGCGAGGCCCGCGGGTCTGAGCGGCCGGTGGCCGGGTGCGGAGGAAGGACAGGCACCCTCAGGGGTGGCCCTGGAGGCTGCCGGGCGCCCGTGGCCACAGCCGGCCTCGTGTGAACGCTGAGGCCTCTTTCGCCCGTCCGCCCACGCCTCTGTGTGCGCAGCGGGCTTAGCGGGCTCCTCAGAGGGGTGTCCCGTCACCCCACTCAGAGCATGGGGACGCGTGTGTGTTCTCAGGCCGTGCGGACGGTCAGGGTCTCGTGAGGAGTGAGACTGGACTTTCGGACATGAACTCGGCTTCGCAGCAGCACTTTCCTAGCTCGGCACTGGCGGCTGGGGGCCATCGCTGCTGTCGTCCCGCACCCTCAGTGTCATCCAACGAGTCTGTACATCTGAGCCTGCGGGGAACCAGGCAGTTCCCCAGGGAGCGTGTGGCCGCACTCCCTCCCAGCACCGCCAGGCCTCAGCCTGTCACCAAGGCAGAGGCTGGGAGCGCCGAGCTGGGCGCCGCCTCTCTCCTGCGTCCCGTTTCCGTGCCTACAAGATGCGCACCGCAGTGCCCGGCGCAGAGGAGGGCTGCGAGCAGGAAGCCAGCCGGCACGTGTGTGCGTGTGTGCACGCGTGTGTATATGCGTGTGCATGTGCGCTCAGTAACCAGCTGTGGTAACAGGGTCATGAGTGCTGACGCCACGTCGCTCAGCAGGGACCTGTGACTGTTACAATCGCTTCACCGAATCCCCATGTGCGGAGCGCGGTGAACCGGTGAGCCACCCACCCCCTCACGGAGCCAGTGGCCGGGACCGGCCATTCAGAGCCTGCGTCTCCCATCGTGAGAAGGACCCACGGCCCCCGCCTGTGCTGAGACTGTCACAGAGCAGCTCCCAGCGGAGCCGGCGCTGGCAGGGATGCGTGAATGGCTGTGACCGACACCACCTCGTAGCACTGCGAACACGCTTAGAGGGTCAGAGTGACGGAAGCAGACGTGACGGAAACACGGCAGGAAGGACTTTTGTTGCTGAGACTCACGTTGCTAAATGCTCCGTCGTCAGGCACGGGCAGAAGATATGCATCACTTTCTTGAAGTTGTTCGCCCCGATGAGCCCCGTGCCTCCCAAGTCGTAGGAGCACAGCAGGTCGTAGAACGCCAGGAGGTTCCTGCTGATGGAGTCCCGCACCATCCCTTCCACCTGAGAACACACATGGTCACAGGCTGCAGGCGTGTGGCCTGGGGGGAGCACCCGGGACCACGGAGGGGGCACCCCAGGACCATGGAGGGAGGGGGCATCCTGGGACCACGGAGGGGGCACCCCAGGACCATGGAGGGAGGGGGCATCCCGGGACCATGGAGGGGGCACCCCAGGACCACGGAGGGAGGGGGCATCCCGGGACCACGGAGGGGGGAAGGGAACTTACTAAGTCCCAGGCCAGCAGCTGTGACGCCTGGGCGTCCCCCCCGGAGGACGGCTTCCCCATCTGAGTGGGAGAGAAAGGACGCAAGTGAATACAGGTCGCTCACAAGGGCAGGCGGAGCTCTTGAGTCCCGACTATGGGGGGCCAGCCATGCCTGGTCAGCCAGCGGCCGTGAAACTGAGCAGGTGAGGCTGCCCTCTGACCCCCTGGAAATGGGAACAAGAACCCTGAACTGGCACTTATTTTTAAAAAGTACAATCAACATGAACAAGTCCGTCATCTAGAAATTAAGTAAATGCAGAGTGAGAGAATAATGAGGCGGCATTTCTGCCTGTCAACGTGGTGAGAATGAAAAAGCAAGCGAAGTGCGGGGCGGCCGGGAACGACACCCGCCGGTGTGACCGGCTGCTCCCGGGGCCAGGGAGCGGGAGGACACTCGCTCCTCAGGCCGTCCCTTCCCATCGTCTGCAGTCTGTGCGTCACACACATGTTCCTCTTTAAACCGTTATAATTTAAAAATAAAATATATACTCTCTGACCCAATCATTCCATTTCTAGAGGTTTATACTGAAGGAAAACCACAGAGTGAGGCCAAAAAAGTAGGCACCCCAATGGCCATTGTACCGAAAGTCATGGAAGAAAAACGACACCTAGATTGTAACGTCGGGGAGTAGTTACTCTGTGTCTTTAAAGTTACACAACAGAATTGACACTGTTAATAATATGTTAATAAGTGACAACAACTAAAAAGGCTGTGATTACATGATCTCAGTTTAAAATGAAATAGATTATCACGTATGAAAGCTTGTATCCAACTCATCAAATTCTATACAGTAATACATGCAGTCTCTTGCCGCTTGATTGAGGTGTAATAGTAATTATAACTAAGCTGCAAAAAAAAGGGTGTGAGTGTCGGTATGTAGTTTTGGGAGGATAATTGTGGGTAAGGAGTCCTCGAGGTTAGAATTAGTAGTGATTTTTATTCTCTTCTGTCTCCATATCTATGTTTTCTAATTTTCTGAATGATTCAGTTTCTCACCAAGTTGTTTTGTGCGTGAGCCCAGCGCTGGGCTCCCCTGCGGTACAAGGGGAAGGCCTGGCCACATAATGTCACACGAGACCGTGACTGGTGTGGGAGGTCGAGGACTACAAGAGGGGCTCCTTCAGGGGTGCCGGGGGTCCCTGGGAGGGCCTGAGACACTGGGACCTGCAGAATGGCCCCATGAGATGGCAGGAGCAGAAGGAAGTGGGGCAGAGGCTGGAGGGGGTGCAGTTGACAGGATCTGATTCCTACAGAGCAAACATCACTGCACTCGCCAGGTGCGGGGGGGGGGGGGCAGATTGCTAACACGTCTATATTTTTGGTTTTAAAGAAAAATGCTGGCTCTGTGCGGGGCTGCGGTGGGGTCAGAGCTCCCACAGGTCTGTTCCACGTGGAGTTCAGGAAAAGCTGTCATTATTCACTTCTCTGTGGGAAGGGCTTTGGGACTTTGGAATTTGAGTCTAAGAAGGACCCTGTAGTGTGGGTTTAGGCTGCGGTTATCACTTTGCACAGGGGGCCATGCAGGAAACGATAATAGCACAATGAAAGGTTAATCTGTAGCTATTAAAGGAAATCTTACACATCTATATATATAAAAGCCTAAGAGACCGAACGACCATTCGACCGGTAGCTATGATGTGCACTGACCACCAGGGGGCAGACACTCAATGTACAGGCATGAAAAAATGGAACAGACTGATGAATCTCAGAGGGAAGTGGGGAGAGGGGAGGACAGGAAGAGATTAACCAAATATCTTATATGCATATTAGAGGCCTGGTGCACAGATTCATGCACTGGTGGGGTCCCTCAGCCTGGCCTGTGGGGATCGGGCCGAAACCCACAGTCCAACATCCCCTGAGGGGTCCCGGATTGCGAGAGGGCGCAGGCCAGGCCAAGGGACCGCACCGGTGCACGAAACCATGCACTGGGCCTCTAGTTTCAACAAGAATCTGTTGATGTCAATTTTTTGGTCAAAAGAAACCAACACTAAAAGCCAGTGTTAGTCATTAGAGGCAATACTCAGTGATCACACAAAAGGTGAACTAGCACAAGAACTCTAAAAACGGGACGGAACCCAGAGGAGCAATCTGCACACGGCCTGTGAGACGGTTCTTTCCCGTTCTCCCACTCTCTCTAAAAATCAATGGAAAAATATCCTCTGGTGAGGTTTAAAATAATAAAATAAAATATAAAATAAAATACAGAGAAGTCCAAACTGAGTAACTCTTACACACTTAATTCTGACTTAAACTGAAAGTTATCGCAGCTGAAAAGTTACCCCAGCGGAGAGATGTGTTTCATTAACCGCACTGCACCAGCACCTCTGATTTTACTGAGAAACTGTTCCCCCGTGACCGGACCCGGAGCGCACCGCCGCCGCCGCCCTGGCACTCACCTTCCCACGGCTCTCCTCCAGCAGCTCCAGGAACCTGTAGATGTCCACCAGGCCCGAGTCCCCGGGGTCCAGCGTCCGCATCAGTTCCTTGAACTCTGAGTCGCTCAGCTTTACGACCAGGGAGTTGATGGTATGCTGCAGTTCTTGCCCTTTTATCCGCCCATTCACCTTCTGAGCAGGAGAGTGTACGTAAGGGAATTTTTTAAAAGAAAAAAGAAAGGAAAGCATTATATATATATGTTTAGCATCATCTAATAAACTGAAAGCTTTGGTAAACAGAATTATGCTATGAAACTAGAAAACTGAAATTGATAATCATTATATAACATGGAGCTGTTAAAGAAATCTTACACATTTCAACAAGAAATGGGGGGTGGGGGAGGCTAGCACTTTGCAAGTGCAGTTCCCACAATGCTCCCTGTTAGGACAGGGGCAGGAGATGGCCCCTGGGCTGACCCCCTTCCCGGGGCAGGCCAAACATGGCTGTCACAGAAGCTGGAATAGTCCCTCCTGCCCCAACCCCACCCGAAGGTGACGGGATCAGCCTCAGGGGACACAAAACTTCCTGGCAATTCAATTACAACTCACCAATTTAATAAGAATATTAATTAGGCGTGTTTTCACTACCACCAACCTCATTCGTTACATAAATGGACAAGTACTTAGCGAGAAAGATTTCAGCCCTGCTGCCTAAAGAAAGCATCTGATGAGCAAAATATCGAGGGGCAAACTTCTTCCCCAGAATAAAAAAACTACCAGCAGGTAAATTAAATATCAAAATTGAGAGATACTGTTTACTAGAAAAACAGGAAATTTAAAAAAACCCTGCCTCATAGAGAGATACTGTGAATATTAATGTGGCAAAGGGGCGTATTAAGTGAGAAGGTGGCGTGTAAATGCCAGCCTTGACTCTGGGCCCAAATCTGAAACGGACATGAGGTTCTCTTGGGGAAAATTAAGTAATTTAGGATACGGGCATGCTTATTTTGGGGTTTGGGAGCGATAATCAATTTTTTAGTGTCTAAACAGGAATCATCGACAAGTTTTTGGTGATTTTCAATAAATGTATAGCCTTGTGCAACCATCACCACCACTATCTAATTCCAGCGGCCGCTGGTCCAGGGGTTTGATTATAGCCACGTGTAATCAAATGTGAAGTAGTATCTCATGTGGTTTTAATCCGTCTCTCCCTAATGTCTAGTGATGTTGAGCGTCTTTTTGTTGTTGATGGTAACCCTCACCCGAGGATATATTTTTTCCATTGATTTTTAGAGAGAGGAGGGGAGAGGGAGAGACAGAGAGAGGAACATCAGTGTGAGAGACACTCTATTGGCTGCCTCCCACATGCGCCCAGACCAGGGCAGGGATCAAGCCTGAAACCCAGGTACATGCCCTGGACCAGAATCAAACCCCAGACCCTTCAGTCTGTGTGCTGACACTCTAACCACTGAGCAACCGCTTAGGGCTTGAGCATCTTTCTATGTGCTCACTGACTATTCGTATATCTTCTTTGGTGAATTGTCTATTAAAATCTTTGGCCCATTTTTAAAATTGGGTTGTCTTCTTCTTAAGTTCTAAGCGTTCTTACATATTCCATCTACATACAGGTCCTTGGCCAGATATTTCAATTACATATGTTGTCTCCTAGTCTGTGGCCTGTCTTTTCATTTTCTTAATGGTATCTCCTGGCGCACAAAAGGTTTGAATTTTGATAAATACAACTTATTGGGGTTTTTTTTTAATGGATCATGCTTTTAGTGGCGTATCTAAAAACTCTTTGCCTAACACAAGGTCACAAAGAATTACGCATGTCTCTAAGAGTTTTATCGTTTTAGCTCTTATTTTTAGGCCTAGGGACATTTTAAGTTAATTTTTGTGTGTGATGTAAGTTCATTTGCCTTTTTGCATATGGATATCCAACTGTCTCAACACCATTTGTTGAGATTATTCTTTCCCCCAACACCCCCTGGATTTGCCAAACTGGGGTGACCGCAGCGTGAAGGTTTATTTCTCTACTCTCAGTTCTGCCCGCTGACCAGCATGCCTCTCCCCCTGCCCGCTCCGCTGTCTTTATTACGGTGGCTTTACACGGAGAAGATTGCTGCCTGGAAGTGACGTGCTCTCACTTCATTCTTCTTTTCCAAGATTGCTTTGGCTATTCTGCCAACTTGCGTTTCCATATGAATTTTTAAGATTAGTTTTTCAATTTCTGCAAAAAAAAAAAAAAAAAAAAGCCAGCTTGGATCTTGATGTGGTTTGCACTGAATTTATAGGTCAGTTTGGAAAGATTTGCAATCTTAATGAGTATTCCAATCCATGTATATGGACTATCTCTTCATTTATTTACATCTTTTTCCTTTTAATAATGTTTCATAATTTTCAGTGTACAAGTCTGGTACTACTTTCGTTGAATTTATCCCTAGATATTTTATTCTTTTCGATGCTACTGTGAGTGGAATGGCTTTCTGACACTCACTTTCAGATTGCATATTGCTAGTTTGTACAAATATAACTGAATATTGTATATTGATCTTATATCCTGCAACCTTGGACTCATACATTAGTTCTTGCAGTGTGTGTGTGCATTCCTTAGAACTTACTATTACAAGATCCTATGGTATGTGAATAAAGACAGTTTTACTTCTTCCTTTCCAGTCTGAACACCTTTTATTTCTTTTCCTTTCTGATTGCTTATCTAGAACTTCAGTACAATGTTGAATAGAAGTAGCGAGAGCTTTTATTCTTGTGCTTTTCCTGATCTTTAAGGAAAAGCATTTGGTCTTGTACCATTGACTGTGAGTTTCTCATAAATGCCCTTGAGCAGGTTTGGGTACGTCCCTACTGTTCCTAATTTTTCAAGAGCTGCTATCATGAATGAGCGCTGGATTTTTCAGATATTTTTCTTCATCTTTTGAGATGATCATGCGGCTTTGTCCTTAAGTCTACTAATGTTGTGTATTACATTAATTGATTTTTTGGAAGTTAAACCAACCTTGCAATCCTGGAATAAACCCCACATGGTCATAGCATTTAATCCTTTTTCTATATTTCTGGATTTGCTTTGCTAATTCATGAATGATATTGGTCTATGGTTTTCTTTTCTTGTGGTGTTTATCTAGCTTCCTCCTATATATTCTGAATGTTTGTGAAGGGTTGGTGTTATTTCTATAACCAATCTTTGTAGTCTTCAACATAGAGCATCCGCACATTATATATATATATGTATATATATATATATTTCTAGGTATTTGATTTTTTAAAAATATCATTAGAAATGGTATTTTTAAACTTCTTTTTCTAATTGCTTATTGCTCTATATAGGAATATTGTTTCTCTTTGCATTTTGACCTTGTATCTAAAGACTTTCTAAGCTCTATTATTAATTCTCATGTGTTTTGAAGATTCTTTTAGACGTTCTATTTACAAAAGCATGTGAACTGCAAATAATGACACGGAAGACATGAGCAGGTGAGGAGGGCGCAGTTGCTCCTGGGTGACAGAAAGACAGCCACACCTGCCGGAAATGTAAGGGATCGGTGCCCGGGCGCACTCTCAGCGATGGCGAGCGTGCGGAGCAGCACACGCAGCTGCCAGGCAGGACCAGCAGCAGATCAAGCAGCTCTAATGGTTCCGCATCCTCCTACAGCAGGAGGGGGACCACTCCCAGGGCCTCCCTGCAGCAGGCAAGGTCCCCACGCCTGCTCCTCCTGGACTCTCCCTCCAGGTCCCAGGATGGGGTCAGGACCAAGGCAAATGGGGAGTGGGGGTGGGGGTGGGGGTAGGGGTGATGAGTGGGGGTGGGGGTGATAAGTTGGGGCGGGGGTGGGGGTGAGGGTGGGGGTGGGGGTGGGGGTAAGGGTGGGGATCCCTCTCAGAAACCCTGCTCTCTGCTCCTCTGAGGCATCCGGTGGTCGCTGCTGGTCTGACACTCAGAGTGTGAGCTGGTCGTGGGCAGGAGCCCTGCATGGTCCACCGTGCCCTCAGCCTGAGCGCCCACTGCAGCCCAGTGCAGGCGGGCGCATCCTCACCTCCACCGTGCGTGTGGCTCTCCATCTGCACAGCACGCCGAGGAGGGTCCGAGGAGGGTCCGACAGCCGGGTACTTGCGGCTGTCAGTTCGCATTATCACAGCCCTCCATCAGGAGAGAAGCAGATGCGTTATTTTTAATTAAAATTGTTTCTTCAATATATTAATAGAAGCGGAGCTCACGAAGCCTTCATTTATCTTTAAGGGGCGGCCAGCTAGCAGCTCCGGGCGGCTCTGGGTGCGGCTCTGGAGCAGCCAGTTTGGAGGTTTGAATCCCGGCCCGCACTCCCCAGGGAGCCTCAGGCCGTCACTCCCCTGCCTTCCTCAGCCAATGGGGACGAAACATAAGGACACCGGAGGCAAGAACAGCGCCTCCCGCAGGGCTGGGAGAGGCTGCCCTGGTGAGAGCCAGCCCATCACTTCAGACGGCGCGTGGCACGCGGTAAGCGCCCCATATGGCTGCTCAGTCAGATGCCAGGTCACATGCGGCCTCAAGGTCAATCACAACAGGACCGCCAGCGAAGACGTCCCCACAGAGAACAGAACCCCAGCCTCTGACTCAACACTCCGCCTGGAAACCCCACATGGCCTGGAGGATGGACCGAGGAAAGGGGGCACGGCCGCCAGGACAGAGGGCACCCCTCCACCCAGATGGCCCCTCGAGCCTGGGGGCTCCGTCCCTGAGCGCTGCCCACTGAGCCGCCTGCCTGTGGTCTCCGGGCTCGGGAAGGCTGACGCGGCACCCGAGTGGCTCCTCTGCTGTAATACTGGCGTCTGAGGGAGAGGAACTCACGGGGGTGCTGGGCATCTGGTAGAGACTCGGTTTCTGAATGTGCTTAGTAAATAACGAACTTGAGAAATGTCACCTAAGGATCAAAAATGCCCCAGTGCCGCTGCTCTCAAATGAACAGTACAGTGCGACGGGCTGATGTTTAGGCGCGAGCTGCACGCCCACGGATTAGCCTCCCTCTGCAGGACAACCACACGACTAAGGCTGCTCTGGAACTAGGAGAATGTCTGCTCTGAGCTACAAGCCGGGCATGAGCCCTAAATTCTAGGCTGAGGGGGCTTTTATGGGTCTGGGTTACTCATCGATTCAGCAGCCCCTCCGCTCTCAGCGACCTGGCCACGCACTGTTCTCGCCCTGTGCGTCTTCCTGTATCATAATAAATGTTATGTCATCCGTCCCCCCAACTAGACCGACTCCGGAGGCCAAGCCATGGATTCCTAAGCACTCTGGGTAATTCCCCGCATAAACAGGGGCTCCAAAAACACCTGCTGGCCTGGCCGTTTGGCTCACGGACTGAAGGGTCCCGGGTTTGATCCAGTCAAGGGTACGTACCTCGGTTGTAGGCTCGATGCCTGGCCCTGGTCAGAGCACATGCAGGAGGCAACCAATCGATGTGTCTCTCTCACATTGATGTTTCTCTCTCTCACTCTCCCTTCCACTCTCTCTAAAAATCAATGAAAAATACCCTCAGGTGAGGACTAACAAAAGAAAAATCACTGCTTGTTGGCCGGATAAGTGAGTGCACACCCAGCTGCTGCTGGCCTCGCTCCGCCCAGCAGCCTGGCAGCCTCAGAAACCCTTACCGAGCTGACCATCAGCAGCGTCTTCCTCAGCAGCGTGTAGTGGTCTTCTCGTCCGAATAACTTGGTGATAATATTTTCCTCGCAACACTGATTCCTAGGGCTGGTGCTACAAGAAGATGAAGAGGAAAAATCAGAAATAGAATCATGTTCTTGACTAAGGTTTGTTCTTACATAAGCAAAACAAAATTCTAAAAATCACCCGCACAGCAGCTATAGTAACGATCTCCCTGTGGACAGCTCTTCTCCCGAAAGCGCAGGCGTGTGCCGGCCCCGCAGCTTCAGTCAGTGTGACGCCCACAAGGGCTGCGGGCCATGCAGCTGCCAGGGTTTGCTCTGCTGAGCCAGCTTCCCTCCCCATTCCCTGCTGCCCCCTTGCCCTCTGCCCTCTGCCTGTGCCCAGCCTTCTAGCGAGTCTGTGCCCTGGCTGGTGTGGCTCAGTTGGCTGGATCATCGGCCTGCACACTGCAAGGCTGCAGGTTCGAATCCTGGTCACGGCACATGCCGAGGTTGCGGGTTCAATTCCTGGTCGGGTGTATGGGGGGCAACCGATCTGTTTCTCACATTTCTCTCTCTCTCTCTCTCTCTCTCTCTCTCTCTCTCTCTCTCTCTCTCTCTCTCTCCCCCTCTAAAAATCAATGAACATATCCTCAGACGAGGAAGGAAAGACACCACAATCACCGGGGTGCATGCGGGAAGCAACCAATCAATGTCTCGCTCTCACATCGATGTTTCTCTCTCTCTCTGCCTCTCCCCCTCCCTTCCACTCTCTTTAAAAGTCAATGAAAAAATATCCTCAGGAGAGGATTAACAAACAACAAAAAATTAAGAGAAGAAATGAACTCTTGGAGGTGCACCCCAGGAATGGGGGGGGAGGTAAGGGGCCCTGAATACTGAAGGCTGGTTCATCAGGTGTTAGGAACCCTAGACGGGCGGCCCAGGGCGTGGGAACGACTCTGGTGCGTTTGCTTCACAGTGGAGCGCAGCGCTGGGATCCAAGGCCGGCCCTCCCTCTGAGGTTTACACGGGCCGGGCCGTCGACAGGCGCACATCAGCATGACAGACCCTCCTGAGAGGAAGTCTGGACTCTCACGTGTCGTAGTTTAGTGCTTCCCACACGGTGGGGCCCCCCACAATTTATGTGACAACGCAAACCTCCTGTGATGACAGACACGGGAGCGAGCCCAGAGATAACGGCTCAGGGCCCGGTCTCCCGCGACCCACACGTCTGCACCGCGCAGAGCGGGCAGAGACTCGGTCACCACGTGGCGTCCTTTCCCTGTAACACTGGACAAATGCGTGTTTATGCCCCACTTTACAAGAAAACCCAGAGCTCAGGGCAGTGCTGGCGGCGAGCGCGGGCGCGTGCGGCGTCTGCCTCCGCTGCTCTCTAAGACGTGACCTGGCCAGACCCCCGCAGTCTCCTCTTTCCACCTAGAAACTGGAATAATAACTACACCTCCCTCGCAGGTATAAGGCGATTCTAAGTCAGCATGTACAGAACATAATTTACAAACTGCAAATCACTCCGTAAAAGTTTATAATTATTCACGCAGGCTAAGTTTTCATTAATAAATGAGGAGAAAGGAATTCGGATCTCCTCTAACCTTGGACATGCTATGACACGTAACTAAAATGTAGGGTTTTTTTCATACCTATCCTTCTTGGCCGGGGGACCGGAACCCGGAGCCTCCAACCACTGAGGGTCGTGCAGCAACGTCAGAAACTGCTTCCAGTAGATTCTGTTGGTGGTTCTAAGTCCAAATCTGGGTGTTAGAAAATGTTTTAAACATTATTCCTGTAACATTGTATGGATTAGATGTTCAATGTTGAATTTTAAATGGCAGCAATGCATTTTTATAAAGTTTACACTCTAAGGTAAACAAAATAATTTGGTCACACAGTACTACAAACAGATCTTTAAAAAGCAAAGAAAAATCGAACTGCTTCTCCATCTCCATGTCCCTGTGTCCCATTAGCAGGAGCTCACGCTGAAGGAAGAAACAAAGGGATTTGTTAAAATTCCACAGGCGGGAAACGATCCTTTCAAATTCGCCATCTGCGGGCTCGGGCCTGGTGCGGGCAGAGCGAAGGCCCTCGGCCGCAGCCCGGTTCTGGCTCCGGGACTGGCACTGGGACCTCACGTGGCAGACAGGACCGTGAGGTGATTGGGGATGTGGACCGTGAGGCGGGAGAGCATCCTGGGTGCCAGGTG